ACATTTCCACTCAAAGAAACTTCTCGAAATCAAAATTAGGCTGGGAGAAGAAGAAAAAAATGTCAACTACAAAATTTCCCGTACTGCATATTTTTACCTCATACTTTATAAAAGTGCTACAATTTTTTTTCACTGTGGATTAATTTTATCTTTTTTTTCGGAGTGAGCAATTTCCTGTGGCACATTTTGTTTTTTTCTGGGAGAACCTTGGCAGAACAATTTTTTATCGTTATACGATGAAGACAGATGGGGCCATAGTACTGAAGTGCACGATAAACATGTATCGAAATCCAATTTTGTTTACAACTACATGTTACGTTTCTTCTCTCGTCAATAGAACTTGTTTTTCTTCTATGTTGATACGCCAGGAGTTGTAACATTACCTGTGGCTGTCCAGGTGTTGTAACATTACCTGCAGCTGTCACATACCAGGTGTTGTAACATTACCTGCAGCTGTCACATACCAGGTGTTGTAACATTACCTGTGGCTGTCCAGGTGTTGTAGCCTTACCTGCGGATGTCACATACCAGGTGTTGTAACATTACCTGTGGCTGTCCAGGTGTTGTAACATTACCTGTCGCTGTCAATACCAGGTGTTGTAACATTACCTGTGCCAGATATCATTAAGACATATTACATCATCAGTAGACATGTATGATGACACAAGAAGTCATTAATTAAATCTGGCGATAAACTCCCCACTCAAACTAAATCTGTACAGAACCCATACCACTGAACCAATAGTTAACTATCCACGAAATATCCACAGTAACATTTCGTCAATCATTTTTGTTTTAATTCCTTCCAATATAATTTACGTTGCATCAATCTGTTTTTACCTTTTTGCACTAATTAATCACTATTTAAAGACATTTTATTGGCTGTAGTGTCTTTGCTTTGAAGAACCAATCTAACCTTCCCTACTTTACATTTCATTAAATGCGCAAATCCGAAACCCATATATTCAGGGGCTACTACCACCATTCACCCACCTCCCCAAAAATATGTATATATATATATATATATATATATATATATATATATATATATATATATATATATATATATATATACAGAGCCGGCGTTAGGGGGTGGCGAACGGGGCGGTCGCCATAGGCCCCGCGCTTGAAGGGGCCCCGCGCTTCAGCAATGTCATTGTTATCTGAATTAGTTCGTAAACTTAAAAAAAATTGTTGCTGACTTCAATTGGGAAAAACTAAATGGTCGAATGCCGACGTTGTTGATTGTTATAACTGAGGCCACGGTTTATGTTGGTGAGTCTCACCTGAACTGGGACAGGCCGTAATTCGATACAAAAATAGTGTCACACCTCCCTTTGTGTAGGGTACGGTCGCCTGGCATTTGACCTGAGCTGACTGGAGATGGCGGTCGAGAATTAACCCACGACGTAAAGAGATACCCTATTGTATGCGGACCGATGAAGACTTCCTTTTAGTGAGCAGACGGGATGTCTATAGTAGACAGTCAGTGACCCGATGAACTCTAGTCCTGACTTTCTTGTTGTAGATGTCGTATAATGTCGTATATGTACAGTGTTTCTTCCAGACTTTTTTCTCCGGAGGGGAGGGGCACTTGAAATTTTCGGGGGGGGGGGGCGGTAGACTTTCTTCGGGGGGTGGGGGGGGGACACTGTTAAAAGTATATATTTTCTCTATAAATTATATAAATTTCATTTCGTTTTCGGGGGGGGGGGGGGGGGGGCTTGCACCCCCCCCCCCCCTCCCCCCCCCCCCCTTCCCCGAAGAGATGCCTGGAAGAAACTCTATATGTAGTCCTACTTGTCTTGGTATAACAAAATTAACATTCAGTTGCGTGCAGAGGGGTGGGAGGAGGGCGACGAGAAAGGGGGGGGGGGGCCTTAGGATCTATATCAGGCGGCATTAAACAGAGTGATTTATTATTATTTTTTGGAAGAAAGTTAAAACTGTTGTTATGTTGTGTCACCTTAAGGATTCACCCGTTCAATAATTAAGACAATAATGATTTTGGTTTTAAAATATTGTATGAATTCTAAACAAATTTTTTGAAGTCTATACTGTTTTGATACATCAGGCCGAGTTCGCTGTATTGTAAACTTTATTTTCCTAATTATTCGGCACGTGATTACATTTTTTCTTAAGTGATTTGGTATGAAGTACATAACTGTTAAAAGTGATTTAATATCTTAGCAAAGGAAAAAAAAAACTACGAACATTGGGTTAATACATGGGAGAGATAAAAATCTGTTATTATAGTGGAAAGTTTGACATTAGCTTATAAACTCCAAAACATTTGTGTTATTATGTGTACATCACATTATATAGGCCTTTATACATACACACACACACACACACACACACACACATATATATATATATATATATATATATATATATATATATATATATATATATATATATATATATATAATGGAAAGGCCCCGCGCGGATGGTTGGCCCTAGGCCCCGCGTATTCCTAACGCCGGCTCTGTATATATATATATATATATATATATATATATATATATATATATATATATATATATATATATATATATATATATATATATATATATATATTAGACAGAGGCTATGACCTTAAGACCTTAGAAACACTCCCCCCTCCCTCCTCCATATGCCCCCACTGAATATCACGCTGAGGCCGCCAATGCCCTTTAATGTCGACAATTCAAATATTTCTCACCTGCTCAGTTTACCTGTACCAATCTACCTGTTTTTGCCATTTGACCTATCACACTGACCTGCCTACACATTTCACCACCCCGTGATTTAAAATTTACCGTATTTCTGCCTCATGCTTTCTCAAATGTCGCAGTCTATTTTCAACCTCTGAAATAATTTGACAATGTCTATTTTCAACCCTTTCTCACCCACACACCCACATACAAACACACACGCACACCTTTGTTTAGTTACAAGTGTGATTATACCGATATCGCTCACTTATTGATGTAATCGATTACGCCCGGGACACGATTTCTCTCACATTCTGCGGTGAATTATTAATATCTAACCACACCGTTTACTGCGCATGCGCCCACATAGTTTACCGCGCATGCGCCGTTGGATCAGAAAATAGCAGCAGAGAAATCGTGTAAGACAGCGTATAATAAAATGACAGAAATAACACCATTTTGGCCGAGTTTGTTAAAAAATTTCACCGTCTGGGTCTAATTTAAAATAAACATAACTTTCAGAACTCCGTGATCCGGCGAACATTCTAGAAATATGAGATGGGGGGGGGGCGCAGGCTGTGAAAATATATTTTTTTAAATTAGATTAAATTCCATTTCAAATGGCTTTTTTCCGTATTTATTCAGAAGAAAAACTATTAACAGCTTTTTTTTTTTAAATTTAATTTCAGACATATCGATTACGATTAAGATTTTTTAAAAAAATATATGACTTATGTAGATCGTGTGTTGAAATAAAGCTTCTATAAAAACACGTTTGATTTATAGAAATATGATATCTAACCCAACACTAATGTGCTGACTCCACATAATAAACGCCGATAATCGTAATGGGTTGTTTTTAAATGGGCTCACTCCAGTCGTTACAAAAAATATAGCGTCACACCAACCCATGTCACATATCGTCACACAAATATAGAGACACTTCAACACTGTTGACACATCATGTCATGTTTGCCTGTCGTCCCTACTGGGACATAGGCCGCTGACAAGAGCTTTCCAGACGTCTCTGTCCAGGGCTAGTCTCTCCAACTGTCCTCAGGTGTATCCAATCTTCTTGGTATCTTCTTCCAGGTCACGTCTCCAGGTCTGCCTTGGTCTGCCTCTCCTCCTCCTGCCCTGTGGATTCCAGGTGAGGGCCTGTCTTGTTATGCTGGATACAGGCTTCCTGAGTGTGTGGCCAATCCATTTCCATTTTCTCTGGAGGATCTCTACTTCAACTGGCAGTTGATTTGTCCGTTGCCATAGAACATCATTTCTGATGGTTTTAGGCCAGCGAATTCGCAGTATCTTTCTGAGGCATGCGTTTATAAATGATTGGATTTTCTTCTTATTTATAGCAGTTATTCTCCATGTCTCAGCTCCATAGAGTAAAGCAGGTTTTACTTGTGTGTTGAAGATCCGGATTTTTATTCCAAGGGTTAAATCTCCAGAACCCCAAACATTTTTTAGTTTGTTGAAGACTGCTCTTGCATTGCCCGTCCTTATTTTTATGTCTGCTTCTGTCCCACCCTGCTTATCAACAATACTTCCAAGGTAGGTGAATCTATCCACTTCTTCTAGGGCTTCTTCTGCCAGTGTTATAGGGTTGCTGTTTGATGCATTGACTTTGAGAACTTTACTTTTCCCTCTGTGGATGTTCAGGCCCAGGCATGTAGAAAAATTAGCAACCCTGTTGGTTTTATCCTGTTGACACATATCGTCATAAAAATATACAACAATCACACTAACGCTGACGTCATATATTGTCACAAAATTATATGGGTCACGTCGACACTGACGTCATATATCGTGATATCTTGTCACAGCTACCCCCGCCGGTAACACGACCTCCGAGACTTATATCCCTCCCCCTACCCCTTACCCCCCCCCCTCCCAAAATACACACACACACACATAACAATAATTCGATGCACCTTCAAAACGGCCCGGGATAAAACGGACCTGTCAATTTGACCCCGTCAAATCGACCCCCGACAAAATACCCAGTCAAAATAGCCCCGTCAAAAGGGCCCCGACATATAGGCTCCCGACAAATGAGCTCCCGTCATATTGGCTCCCGACAAATGGACTCTCGACATATTGGCTCTCGACAAATCGGCTCAGGAAATATTGGCTCCCGACAAATCGGCACCCGACATATTGGCTCCCAACATAAGGGCTCCTGACATATTGGCACACGACCGCGCCATTAGAACTTAATGGCTCGGGCTATGGTTAAACAAGACGTGTTAAATAAAACTGACCGTCTCTCTGACCAATGAATCCTGTCTCTTGTCTGCCCAGCTCGTCCACGGGTGCGCCAGTCCCGACCCAGGGATCATCTACATCGACTCCAGCACCGTGACTGTGAGGCTGCACCACAACAACGCCACCGACTACACCTTCGCTATCATCCTAACGGCCAGACTGGTCAACAAGTGTAAGTCTACTTTGTTACATTTTATTTGGTCAAGTGTAAGACTACTTTGTATACATTTTATTTGGTCAAGTGTAAGTCTACGTCTACGTTTTTACTTTTTTGTCAACAAGTGTAAGTCTACTTTGTTACATTTTATTTGGTCAAGTGTAAGACTACTTTGTTACATTTTATTTGGTCAAGCGTAAGTCTACTTTGTTACATTTTATTTGGTCAACAAATGTAAGTCTACTTTGTTACATTTTATATAGTCAACTATTCTTGCAAAATTTTATATAGTTCATAATGTACGTCTGTCTTTCTGTATGTGACACATCTTGTGACTCAATTTTGACCAACTTCTAATGCAGTGGTTTCGTTCAAACTTTCTAAATAAATTTTTCACTAAATACAATGCAAGAATATCTAATTTTAATGTAATTAGATATTGAATAAATCATTAATAATTAATTAATTAATTACTAGCGACACTTTATCATCTGTCTTCGGGGATGATATTACACCGGAGAGTCGGCTCCTATGGGGCAGATAATTGTCATTTAAAGTTAATAATTAGCTTTTAAATCAAATATTTTTAGTTGCGAGGGTCCATACTTTGTTATAATAAACCAAATTAAACTAATAAATATGCACACTTATTTATAATAAACCGAGTTAAAATAATAAATATGGTACTAATTGTATTTAAAACTTAGATACTTAGTATTTTTTCAACATCTGAATACTAATAGAATGGGACGGCCAGGTCTAGCGATAGAGCTTTATACTGCAAATCCGAAAGTCAGGAGTTCGAATCCGGGGTCCACCCAGCTCTAAAGGGGACTTGCCTCACGTTAAGGAAAGTAAAGGCGGCTGGGCATAGTGCTGACCACATTATCCCTTCATATCCGAAGTTAGAAAACGTATGAGCGAATGGATCGCTAGGTCTAAAAAGGTCTAAAATACTAAAAATATAAATTAAAACAAACAAAAACATGTGAAACAATACGAAACTTTAACGCAAAGAAAATAATAAAATGTAGCGAAAATTGCTATGTTTAGTATTTATCGTACACGAAATCTCTTAAACAATTTTGCTACCAACGCTTTTACTAATGAAAGTAATTATTTTTTTAAAATATAAATTGCATTAAAATATAAATAGAACGTGTGTCATATGTCGACAGCGCCCACCACCGACACCAACTGCAGCGGGTTCAAGTGCGAGAACGGCGCCTGCATCTCCAAGTCGCTGATGTGTGACGCCGTCGACAACTGCTTCGACTACAGCGACGAGTCCAGCAACGGGACGGCTCACTGTGAAGGTTGGTCACGTGGTCCACGTGGGGGTGGGGGGGAGGGGTCTGTTGCGGGGAGGGACTGACGTCATGGTAGTGCTTTGTGTGGGTGGGGAAAATTATGAGTCCTATTCAAAACCATGTCGCTTTGTCTATAGGGCTGGTAAGTAGGTCACCAACTAGTTCTACGGCTCAATAAAACCTGCATGAACCATATAACTGGTTGGTGACCTACTTACCAGCCCTATTGATGTAGTTGAAAATGCCAATCTGCATATATACTGTTCTTTTTCATGTTTTTGCTATTTAAGTTATACACATATGTACGGCCAAATTCAACCTCTATTTTCCCCACTTTTCAAGCAGGCCAATGGCCATTTCCTGGAGAGAACTGGGGAGTTCTGGCCAGCGTTCTGGGAGCGGCAGTTGTGTTGGGGGTCACGGCCGCTTGCTGTCGTCACATCCGGGCTAAACGGGAGAGCTCAGTGGATGACCTATACGAGCTGAATGAAGGACCTTATGTTCATAAATACGGTATGGGGACATTATGTTCATAAATACGGTAGGGAGGACCTTATGTACATAAGTACGGTAGGGTGTACTTTATGTTCATAAATACGGTAGAGAGAACATCATGTTCATAAATACGGTAGGGTGACCGTTAACTCGTAAGTACGGTAGGGGGACTTGATGTTCATAATTTATGTAGGCAGACATAATGTTTCAAATACGGTAGGGAAGACCCTATGTTCATAAATACGGTAGGGTGACCGTTAACTCATAAGTACGGTAGGGGGACTTGATGTTCATAATTTATGTAGGCAGACATAATGTTTCAAATACGGTAGGGAAGACCCTATGTTCATAAATACGGTATGGAGGACATTATGTTCATAAATACGGTAGTGAGGACCTTATGTTTACTATTTCAGTAGAAGGACTTCATAAATATGTTAGGCGGAACCGTATGTTCACAAATACGTTAGGAATGACCTTACGTTCATAAATATGTATGGCAGAATCTTATGTTCATAAAAAACAGTCAACAGAAGAGAAGTCCTTAATTTTAGCAAAGCGGGAAATAATTTTTTTTTTATCTTTCACGAGTTCGTTTTTACTTTTTTACCTCAAAGTAAAATGAACTCGCCAGTTAAGTATTTAACAAAGGTGTTGATTTTTCTTTTAATAATGCTCACTGACCGTGGTTGACCGTGGTTTAATTAATGAATGAAATTATTTCTCCCCCAGCCTACAGGTACGCTGTGATCCGGCCGCCCAAGAAACCAAACAAAACCAACTTTGTCTTAGGGCGTGACGGGTGAGTCCTTTTCTTACCTACACTGTCATCGTTCATGGTTCGTCGTTTGTTATTCATTGTCAGAGGTGGACTGGCCCGCCGCTCTACCGGGGTGGGGAGGGGGGGGGGGGAATCCCTGTGGTCCCCCTTGATTAAAAAATCCCTGTGGTCCCCCTTGATTAAAAAATCCCTGTGGGCCCCCTTGATTAAAAAATCCCGATGGTCCCCCTAGTTTAAAAAAAAAACGCGATGCCCCCCCCCGGTAAAAAAAATCCCGGTAGGCCCCCTTGGTTAAAAATCCCGATGGGCCCCCTAGTAAAAAAAACGATGCCCCCCCTCCTCCCCCGGTGAAAAAAATCCCGGTGGGTCCCCTTGATAAAAAAAAAATCATGATGGGCCCCCAGGAACGGTGCTGTAATAAGCCTATGCATGCTTTGATTTTTTTTTTTTTTATAATCTGTCGTGTGAATTTCAATGATGCCGATGTGATCATCAGGCTTTTATGAGGAGGGGGGGGGGGGGGGAACATAATGAAAATTAAAATTTGGCGTTAGGGGTCCCATTATAAATTTCCTAGGCCTCTTAGACACAGCCAGTCGACCCCTGTTTATTGCCGTCATGCATAGTCTATCATTATGTGTCCGTCCTCAGCAATTTAACGTTCGTAGTCCATCATTCATCACATATGATTCTTTTTTTTTTCAAATGATTATATTCCTTTGCAGCAGGCTAGCTAACCCTGTCAATGAAACTTGTTAAATTCCATTTTTTTAAAACTTTAACTTTTGTTTTAAACTGTTAATTTCTAGTTGTTTAAAGTAAAAAAAAATGTTCTAGTGAAAATAATTAATTTCTTCTCCCTTCTGATGTTCCACAGCCATATGCACAGTAGCGCGTCCAACGTATGACGTCAGCTCATAGTACAACATATAAGTGCCTGGTCAGTCTTATGTTGTTTTTTTATTGGTGGTGAGGGGTGGGGTGACGTCAGCTCATAGTACAACATATAAGTGCCTGGTCAGTCTTATGTTGTTTTTTTTTATTGGGGGGAGCGGGTGTGACGTCAGCTCATAGTACAACATATAAGTGCCTGGTCAGTCTTATGTTGTTTTTAGATTGGTGGGGAGGGGGGGGTGACGTTAGCTCATACTACAACATATAAGTGCCTGGTCAGTCTTATGTTGTTTTTTTATTGGTGGTGAGGGGTGGGGTGACGTCAGCTCATAGTACAACATATAAGTGCCTGGTCAGTCTTATGTTGTTTTTTTTATTGGGGGGAGCGGGTGTGACGTCAGCTCATAGTACAACATATAAGTGCCTGGTCAGTCTTATGTTGTTTTTAGATTGGTGGGGAGGGGGGGTGACGTTAGCTCATACTACAACATATAAGTGCCTGGTCAGTCTTATGTTGTTGTTTTTTATGGCAAGGAAGGGGGGTGGGGGGGGGGGATGACGTCAGCTCATAGAACGAAATGGTCAGTCTTGTTTTTATTTTTTAATCAGAAAGGGGGGGGGGGGAATGGGGGAATGGGGGGATTTTCACATTGTAGACTTCTTATTCTTATTATTTATTTTTACGATGAGTTGGTTTGTTTTTATATCCCCCCTCCCCCTTTATATTTATCGTTGGCACAATGATGCTGTAGCTATTGTGTAGCCTTCATGTAATAAGGTCTACAGTGTGAGCCTGATGTAAGACAGTGTAAGACCTCTAGCACGGTAGAAAATAACAAACGTGATCCCTATAATCAGACGGCGCTCTAGTTTCTTTAATGTCCAGCTCAAACACAATTACCTTGTCATAGAGTTTCCCACAACATCTCAATATTTAATTGCCGACTCACATTTCTATCATGTTTGTTTTATTTTTCTTAAGCTGAAATATTGGGGGAGGGTTAATGGAGTAGGGGGGGGGGGCGTAATATAATCTCAAATGATTTAAGCTGGAAGGTTTTTTTATTTTTAAAAATGTATCGTTGAAAGGGACACAACTCTTTTAATTTCGGTTCAATTCGTGTTCGTTTTATTCCCTTTATTTCCCATCATTTATGCTTTATATTAATTCTCGAGTTAGAGAGCCTACCTTATAATTTTTAATAGTTTTTTTTCTTCTTTATACTGCTGATCTTTTAATCTTAGCCTATAATATAAAAGAGGGGGGTATGAGGGTCTATAGCTAACTGAAATGGGTACGTTCTTCATCATTTACAAAATGTATTCAATACTTTTTTTGTAATGCTTGTTTCGCTTCCCGTACGTTATGCTTTAATGTTTAACCTAACCTTAACCCCAGTGTTTCTTCCAGACTTTTTTCTCCGGGGGGGCACTTGAAATTTTCGGGGGGGGGGGGGAAACTTTCTTCGGGGGGTCGGACACTGTTAAAAGTATATATTTTCTATATAAATTATATAAATTTCATTTTGTTCGGGGGGGGGGGGGGGGCGGTAAAAAATTTCGGGGGTTCGCCCCCCCCCCCTTCCCCGAAGAGATGCCTGGAAGAAACTGCTTAACCCTTACCTGACCATAGCGCTGACCCTCACCCTGACTCCAGCGCTGTAATAATAAGACGGCGTAGTCGGGCGGTAGAGCGTGCGGCTGCTAATCTGAAAGTAACGAGTTCAGGTACTCGGGTTCTAGACCGTAGAACGTCTTTGAGATCTGAGTTGTACCTCTTACGTTATGGAATGTAATGACGGCTAGTCTTAGAACTGACCACATTATTCCTTTATAATCAAGGTCACAGGAGCAGGTGAACTCTACTCCATCTGCGCCATTGACAGCTATGCCTGAAAGGACAACTACTTATAAGAACCCTTTTAAGTCCCGGCGATTACCCACAATCCCTTTCTTTTGAGTTTTTATATAAATATAATATACAAGCCGACCTGCGGCGTATAATACGCCGCTGTTTAGTTGTTTTATTTTCTACTTTTCAGTAATTCATAACTTGTGAATTTGACAGTACCAATGCTGCCACTAAAATATTTGCTTTAAAACACTATCAGTAGGTCGTTTAAGGACGATAACCCCCCCCCCCCGCCCTCTTTCCCCCAACCCCTACCCTACACCCCTCCCCCCGTGAAAGCAGCCTCCTCTTAGTTTAAAATCGTTTCAAACTAAATTATCTGCCTCTAATGCCCGTCATTAAACCCGGCTCTACGATTGTAAACATTTAGCGTGAACCACATGTGGGGTGGGGGTGGTAGGGATATGCTTAGAGAGGAAGAGAGGGGACTGCTAGGCGTGCTTACAGCTTGGTGTTTTCTAGGGTATCCAAGAAGAGAATTATATATAGAAGATAGATATGGTCAACATACAACTCTGTCAACATATGAACCCTGTCAAATAACAAACCCTGTCAACATACCTACCTTTTAACATACGAACCCTGTCAACATACAAAACTGTCAACATACAAACCATGTCAACATACCTACCTTTCAACCTACGAACCTGTCAACATATGAACCTGTCAACATACGAACCCTGTCAACATACGAACCCTGTCAACATACGAACCCTCTCAACATACAAACCCTGTCAACATACCTACCTTTCAGCATACGAACCTTGTCAACATACCTACCTTTCAACATACGAACCTTGTCAACATACGAACCCTGTCAACATACAAAACTGTCAACATACAAACCATGTCAACATACCTACCTTTCAACATACGAACTTGTCAACATACGAACCCTCTTAACATACAAACAATGTCAACATGGGAACCCTGTTAACATATGAACACATATACAAACCCTTTCACCATCTGGGGTGTTTTATTCATTATAAGGTTTGTACCTTTCACATACGAACCATGTTCAACATCTTCGTTGTTTACCTTTCAGATCTACACATTCTCATTCAACAACAGACCACGTGACCCATCAGCCACCCCCTCCCGAGAGGTCACCACGAAAATGACCTGAGGTCTACTTGACCAATGGGGACAACCAGGGGCGTCAACTCCCACAAAACTCACCCAAGCCGGATGTACCTTGCCATTCTACATGGACTTGTCAATCAAAAAATGTCCGTTTTGCCATCATTGTCATTTAAAATGTCAGTTTTGACCTCAATGTCATTTAAGATGTCAGTTTTGCCTTTGTTGTCATTTAAGATGTCATCATTATCGTTCCCTCAAGTAAACTAAGCAGCAGTGGCGTATGCAGGGGGGGTCTGGGGGGTCATAACCCCCCCCCCCTCCATAGACCCCTCGGTATATATATAAAAAGAATGAGGGGGGTGCAAATCGAAAGTTTGAGGGGGGTGCAAATCGAAAGTTTGAGGGGGGTGTGCAAATCGAAAGTTTGAGGGGGGGGGGGGGGGGGGTGTGCAAATCGAAAGTTTGAGGGGGGGGTGTGCAAATCGAAAGTTTGAGGGGGGGGTGGGGGTGCAAATCGAAAGTTTGTCCCCGGGTAAAAATTGGAACACCCCCCCCCCCCCCCCCCCCCCCCTTGAGACGATCCTGGCTATGCCACTGCTAAGCAGTATGTTTGCTTGCTTTCCTTAGAAATCAAATTATTTTTCCAATTGTAACCGAACCAGTCCATCATTAAGCTGGTTTCAACTTCAACCAATCAACTCGCTTGTTACATAGTGATCCAGCAAATCAGATCTATTTTTGAGATGTTGTGTTGTTTAAGTATTATTTGGAAAACATTTCATTCGTTGTTGTTTTTTTTCTTCTTTTTTTTCCGTTTCATTTCAATTTTTTGTTTCGTTATCAAATACATAAATACCGTTGTAACTTCAATTATACAATTAAACAACCCACACGATAGGTATTCTTGTGAAGTTCCTTTATAGTTACATTCTATTTTTTTTTTTAAATTTGCGTTTAAGAATTTTTAAAATTCTAAAACATTTTTTTTAATTTGTCGATGTTTATATAAATCAATAATGCATTATAAATGTGCTATTGTATGTAACATTATTTGTTTTTAAGTGTCTGTGAATAATAGTTTAGTATGTGAATGTACTATAAGAATCAACATAGATGTGAGTGATATAACTGTTTAAACCCTGTATTGTGTGCCGTCATATCACTTACATGGATCAACAAAAGCCTAGTTTTTTTTATTACAGTGAAGGATTTTTTATTGGATTTGCTAGTATAAAAATATAGCTTCTTTTTTTTTACAGTAAATGTGATCTTTGTTTACTTTTATCAGCCAACTTGCTTTACTGCTACATTGAAATTAGATTACTTTTGCCTGCTATTGTAAAAGTGAACTTTTTTATTATTATAAAAGTTAACAATGTTTGTCTGCTATTGTAAAAGTGAACAATTGTTGTCTGCTATTGTAAAAGTGAAATATTTTTGTCGGCTATTGTAAAAGTGAACCTTTTTTGTCTGCTATTGTAAAAGTGAACTGTTTATGTCTGCTATTATAAAAGTGAATTGTTTTTGTCTGCTATTCACCAAGTGAACTACCGCTAGAGTCTGTGATGAACCATTCTATGTTGCTCAACATTCCCTTACTGAAACCAACCGTGTCCATGCTTTATGTTACTGTGGGCCCTGCTCATCGCTGGCCCATCCAATGTTAACTTAAAAAGTACACATTTTCTACCCAACATAATGTTAACATAACGCTACACACATTATTTGCTGGCCCTTAAATAGTGCACATTTTCTACCCAACATAATGTTAACATAACGCTACACACATTATTTGCTGGCCCTTTAAAAGTACACATTTTCTACCCAACATAATGTTAACATAACGCTACACACATTATTTGCTGGCCCTTTAAAAGTACACATTTTCTACCCAACATAATGTTAACATAACGCTACACACATTATTTGCTGGCCCTTAAAAAGTACACATTTTCTACCCAACATAATGTTAACATAACGCTACACACATTATTTGCTGGCCCTTAAAAAGTAAACATTTTCTACCCAACATAATGTTAACATAACGCTACACACATTATTTGCTGGCCCTTAAAAAGGGAACATTTTCTACCCAACATAATGTTAACATAACGCTACACACATCATTTGCTGGCCCTTAAAAAGTACACATTTTCTACCCAACATAATGTTAACATAACGCTACACACATTATTTGCTGGCCCTTAAATAGTGCACATTTTCTACCCAACATAATGTTAACATAACGCTACACACATTATTTGCTGGCCCTTAAAAAGTACACATTTTCTACCCCACATAATATTAACATATAAAAAACATGATACACATATACATTGAGTATACATATTTCATTCAACCCCATATATATGTCGGTCTACATTGTTGGTATAGTTATACACATCACAAAGTTGATGTATCTCATACATACGACGAGTCGAATATTATTTTTTAGTCACAACTCAAACAAAAAACTGTCATCCTAACATAAAACCAAAACCGACTAAGCGGTATGAAATATTTAACATATAGAACCCTATGCCCAATACATATTGTATGTCTGATGTTGTATGTCATATATTTGTCATTTTACGTCAGTGCCCCCACATCACAAGGATCGTGTCATATATTTCTCATATGTATCAAGTTATCAAGTGTAAACTGCCTCATAATACTGTCTCATGTGTATCATGTTATCAAGTGTAAACTGCCTCATAATATTGTCTCATGTGTATCATGTAATCAAGTGTAAATTGTCTCATATTGTCTCATATGTATCATGTTATCAAGTGTAAACTGCCTCATAATATTGTCTCATGTATCATGTTATAAAGTTTAAATTGTCTCATATTGTCTCATATGTATCATGTTATCAGTGTAAATTGCCTCATATATTGTTTCATGAGTATCATTTTATAATGTGTAAACTGCCTCATAATATTGTCTCTAGTGTATCATGTTATAAAGTGTAAATTGTCTCATATTGTCTCATGGGTATCATGTTATAAAGTGTAAATTGTCTCATATTGTCTCATGGGTATCATGTTATAAAGTGTAAAATTGCGTCATATATTGTCTCATGTGTATCATGTTATAAGGTGTAAATTGTCTCATAATATTGTCTCATGCGTACCACGTTATCAAGTGTAAATTGCCTCATATATTGTCTCATGTGTATCATGTTATCAAGTGTAAATTGCCTCACATATTGTCTCATGTGTATCATGTTATAAAGTGTAAATTGTCTCATAATATTGTCTCATATGTATCATGTTATGAAGTGTAAATTGCCTCATATATTGTCACCTTGACATCGCTTAATAAAGTGTCAACTGTGCCATATATTGTCTTATATCATGTCTATCATGTTATACAGTGTCAATACAAATCAAATAAACTATAATTTGTCAGCAACATCGGTGTGGTTTTTTATTCTCTTTATTTCTGAATGCATTACTAAAAGTGATCCTAAACACATTCATCAACTTTTGCTCTGTTCAACGATGATTTTAACACTTTAAAATATAATCAAATTACACTGACACCCCCATGGTTTATACCTTCATACTTTACACTGATGCCCTCATACTTTACACTAAAATTTTAATCAAATGATTTACTATGCCTCTATCTTTGGTTTTGAGTCAGTGGCGTAGCGAGGTCAGGTGTCACCCGGTGCGGCACTTAATGGTGTCACCCCCCAGAGGCGTAGCGACCTTTCCCGGGGACAAACTTTCAAGTTTTCGATTTGCACCCCCCTCAAACTTTCGATTTGCACCCCCCCCCCCCTCAACTTTTCGATTTGCACCTCCCCCCCCCCCCTCAAACTTTCGATTTGCACACCCCCCTCAATTTTTCCACTATATATTTTGCTATTTTTTGCCTTGGTGTCACCCCCCTAAATGGTGTCACCCGGTGCGGTCCGCACCCCCCGCCCCCCTCGCTACGCCCCTGCTAGAGTCATCATCCTTCTAGACTTATTTTTAACCCCTCCCCCCCCCCCCACACACACACACTCCCCCTCCCCTCCTCGTTACGACAGGTCGAATATGCTCCCTCTGGTGTGTGACGTCTTTAAACTAGAAACAAACGACAGCCCAAGCACAATGTTTTGTTCAAGTTCGAATCTCAAGTCAATGATCACAAGATCACAAGATCTTCGTAGATTGCAAATTAAAATTGACCTAGTTTCTGTCTAATGATTAAAAAATACACAACAAGAATTACGTCCCTTAGATGATGATAAATTTACAGAAACAAAACATGACTCTATCAAACAAGTAGTTTATGTTTTGTTTTGTTTTTTGTAGTTTCAGTTTAGGACAGAATGAAACCTTTTGATTGGTCTGTTTCTACTTCAGTATGTGTGTAAGTTTCAATATTTTTATTATCATTTTTTATGAGAACTTCATCTTGTTGTCTAGAAACATTATTTTCGTTCTGCTTGACTTAACTTGTTCAAATTAGCAAAATGTGGTCGGTATTTTGTGGGTTAATCTTTTTTATTTATTTCACGAAAGCATACTACTTCTACTTATGCGAATCTGAGTCTTTTCAAATAATACATTCCTTCTTTATCCAATATTCTGGAATAAAAGTTTGCCCCTAAAGCAAATATTCAATTATTATATTTTAGAATATGTGTTCGGTTATCAAATATATTTATTTCCCTTTCATTATCTATTTCAAATACTCTCAGTGTTTCTTCCAGACTTTTTTCTCCGGGGGGGCACTTGAAATTTTCGGGGGGGGCGGTAGACTTTTTTCGGGGGGGGGGGGGGCGGACACTGTTAAAAGTATATATTTTCTATATAAATTATATAAATTTCATTTCGTTCGGGGGGGGGGGGGGGGCGGTAAAAATTTTGTCGGGGGGGGGGGGGGGGCTAACACCCCCCCCCCCCCCCCCCCCCCCCCCCCCGAAGAGATGCCTGGAAAAAAACTCTGAATACTCTGTAAAATATCAGTTTCGCTTCCTATGTTCAGGTAAGTTGAATGGGGGTAGGTGTTAGCTACAAGTGAGCCTTGTGTGATGGTGAATGAAACGGGAGGGTTACGTAACATGCAGACTGCAGATAACTTTAGACCTAGGGTTCCATTGGGCAGATGAAGTAGAGTTCATATGTTTCTTGAGCTCGGCATATAAAGGGATAATGTGGTCAGCACTATGCCCAGCTGCCTTTACTTTCCCTATCGAGAATTATGTACCCATCAGAGCAGGGTGGACTCAGGGACATTCCACTGACTTGAACTCGGATCTTTATATCAAAGCTCAAGCATTTATTTTCTGTGGAATCAGTCTATTATATCTCATCCTGTCTATAAGAATAGCATCTAATCTTTCATTACCTAGTTAGGATTTATGCTGTAAATAGCTTGGGATGAGTGTGGCGGTGATTAATACACCTAGCAACAGTTCTCACTGTAACTAGATGTATTTGTGTACCAATGAGACACATATATTTGTGTACCATTGAGACGCATGTATTTGTGCATCATTGAGACATGTGTATTTGTGTACCATCGAGACACGTGTGTTTGTGTACAATTGAGACACGTGTATTTGTGTACCAATGAGACACATGTATTTGTGTACCATTGAGACATATTATTATGTATTTGTGTACCACTAAGACACATGTATTTGTGTACCATTGAGACATATGTATGTGTGTACCACTAAGACACATGTATTTTTGTACCACTAAGACACAAGTATGTGTGTACCACTAAGACACATGTATGTGTGTACCACTAAGACACATCTATGTGTGTACCACTAAGACACATGTATGTGTGTACAATTGAGACACGTGTATTTGTGTACCATTTCTGTACCACTAAGACACATGTAATTGTGTACCAATGAGACACATGTATTTGTGTACCATTGAGACACATGTATTTGTGTACCACTGAACTAAAAAAAAATCCACAATATTTCAGACAAAAACACACAGTCCAGTTCTGGTGATGCTAAATCAGGCTACATTGATACAACTTCCGGTGTGTTAAACAGTGGATACACGAACACACCTTAACACCATTGGTTACAAGAACACACCTTAACACCATTAGCTACAAGAACACACCTTAACACCATACCTCAATAGTTTAACACTTGTTCCTGAGATACTTTTGTATATCATTATTAAAATATTAAATTTTATATTTTGAAATATGTATGTCTATGTCATACCTAATAAATTAATGTGTTTGCTATACTTGGGATATTAATATTTATGTAATAATTAAGATATTAATGTACATCAATAGACCTAGCACCTCTTACATAATGCTACCGAACATATGTTAAAAAATAAATGTATTTATTTATTGTAAAATAACATCTGAATTTATTTGAGTGATTTTGAAGCGTGTATGAATGCTGGTCTATGTATTTAGGGATGAATATAGGTCTCTACGTATATTAAATAACTTTCGATATAAACTTCTAATTTTATTTTTAAACTTAAATTGCGATACAGTAGACTCGTGAATATTAGTTCTAAATTACTCATTGGACGAAGAATAGACCAAGCCTTCTAGATGACGTATTAGAGTATTTCAGACATTTAATCAATAGAACGGGATTTCCCATTCTCTAAAAATAACAATAAATAAATTCACCACGAATATGGCTGTTTTATCTTTGATATCTTCTCATTGATAGTTGAGCCTGGTACGTCGGACTCCCAAGTCCCCTACATATTAGCGTGGGGGAGGAGAGGTGCAAGACTGCCGGGAACAAGAGGGGTTTGCTCTCGACCCTAACCAGATATCTTGACTTTAAGTTGCGGCCTTCGCGTGGCTTCGGAAGAGTGCCACTAGTCGGACCAAGCTCATGACCCCCCTAATGGGTGCGGAATGGCTAGTGGTAGCCAACAGCAACTAGAGGTTTTTGATCTGGCCGAGTAGAGCTGCTGTATGCGCTAGGCTCAAAGAACGACCGAACGCCCCCCTCGATCAAGCTGGGTACCAGGCGGTAGGACGACGTCCCCACGTCCCGCGTCTGGTGGGTGGGGAAGGAAAGCCCGGTGAGAGCCCACGGAAGTAGCGACCGATGTGTGGGAAACTTGGCCTTAAGGTAGGGTTTGCCACACTGAGGCCTGCCTGGCTAATGGAAGTGAACCTTCTGAGCCGGTTTCCGTATAAGGAAGGAAGAAGTGTGATAGGTCTGCTAATCTGATCGGTAGCGAAAACTCCGAAATTACTATTCAATGCTTCTCAAAAGATAGGCAAAAAGCACAGGCTACAGAATGAACCATAGCACTCACAGACCAAAAGGATTGAGATTCTCTGTGTTTTTTTTTTTCAGAGCAGCAATGACGATAACGATGTGTAATCGATACATGATCATTCATCGATTAGAAATCGTTACATCTAATCACTGTTGTGTGTTTTTAATGTTTGTTATGAACTTTATTTGGTTAGAGTTGGACCTATATTAACTGCTGTAGAAAATGGTTTCCCCATACACCTCCCATCCCTGTTGCGTTTAGTTGACTACCGTTTAGTCGCTAATATATAAATTAACCAAATCGGAGGCTATATTTAATCACATACAATATATGTATATAACAGCCACCCCCCCCCCCACACACACACCCTACATACACACCCTTGTAAAGAAAGCCTTCTTTCATATCTGACTACAAATGCAGCATGAGAAGTAGAGTCAGTCTGTATCTCTGACTAGGCATGTCAATAAATTATTTGCTCCAACTTTTCCCCAACTCAGAACGGGTACCCGTATGAGCTGGGTGGACTCAGGAACGTTGAGACTTTTGGGCTACTTACATCCTTACATAGTCCATAAGGGCTTCTATACTTTCCCTAGCGCCAGTCGGATACCAATTAGAGCTGGGTGTACTCAAGGACACTCTACAGACTTTGATCCGGATTCGAACTCGAGACTTTGGGGCTAGCTGTCGAGCGCTGTATCGCTTGACAATGCAGTAAAAGTTAAAGAAACTTTAAAAACCAGGCACACCTTCCACCTAATCCACAATTGTTCTGGTCAGTATTTTTTTTTAACGCGTCCAGTAAAGTGATGATCATCAGCTAAAATCGTGCAGTAAATAGTTGAGGCAGAGCAGTGACGTCAGCAAGTCTCACCACGTGCCACCTTGCCTAATGACGTCACTGGTGGGGAAATCATTATGTTCGGTTACAGTAGCACCAATTCATATTTTTAGAATGAATTAATTTATTTTTAAATTAAGCATTAAAAGAGCTGGTCGATTAATGACGTTGGCCTTAAGCCCAAATTTTTCAACTTGAACTTGACCTATTTCGAAACCGGTGATAAGAATGCAAAAAATAAAACTCAAATCTTATCAAGAACATCACTGTGTTGAAAGCTATGGCCCTTTAGTTGTGGATAAATGTACATTAACTATTCAGATCTTTAGTCGGAAATGTTTCATAGAGAATAGACAACACACAGGAGAGAATTTTCTTTTAGTTTAGGAACAGAATGAATCCTTTAATTTTCATTGGTTTATTTTTAGCTGTGTGTAAGTTGACATGTTTTTTTTATCGATATATATAAAGCAAAGTGGTCAAGTGTCGGGCACTTCCCAGTGCCGCAGGCGCGTCAAATTTGGCACGATGATGCCTTGGGGCGATAGAACACGAGGGCCGGTGACAGTTGGCCAAAAAGTCCACGGAGAGGGGGTCAAAGCTGACCTCGACTGACCGGCGCCTTATATGTGCTATATTACGAAAAAAAAATTCCTCCGAAGACCCCCTTGAAATTTTGTGAGGTGGTAGGAGAACGCCTTGGGGTGTCACTAAAAACTCGCCATGTCCGGGAAAATTCGTTAAATGGGTCAAAACTGACCAGTCGTATTTCCCTATATAATCTTTGTATATTATGGGAAAAACAGAGGGTGATTTCAAAACGGATTTTAGGGCACTTGCCGTCTTTACATCTGGCTAACTTTTTGCATGCTCTTAGGTAAATGGATTCACCTTTAGGGAAAACTGTCGGATTTACTCAAAGCCCTCGACGAGGGCTAAAAGGTGACCGCGAGTGAAATTCTCTTTATATGAGCTTTATTACGAAAAAAAATTCCGACGACGACCCCCCTTGAAATTTTGTGAGGTGGTAGGAGAACGCCTTGAGGTGTTACAAAAACTCGCCATGTCCGGGAAAATTCGTTAAATGGGTCAAAACTGACTAGTCGTATTTCCCTATATAATCTTTGTATTTTATGGGAAAAACAGAGGGTGATTTCAAAAGGGATTTAGGGCTCTTACCGTCTTTATATCTGGCTAATTTTTTGTAAACACCTCTATAGATGACTATGCCGTATGGATAAACTGTTGGTCAGACTTAAAGCCCTCTAAGATGGCTAAAAATGACCGCGAGTGAAATTCTCATTATACGAGATTTGGTCATTTGGTCTATGAACAGGAGAGGAAACTTTTTAATGTAATAATTTTTAAATATTTTGTATTCTCTTTTGAAGAAAGAAAACAAAAATACTTATATAAAAATAATAAGTGTGCGAATATTCCATCAATATTTGAGGACCATGACACTACTCCACTGTATAAATTTAGGCCCTAAGCATTTAACATAGCAGCCAATCACCTATTAATTAATCATTCAATTCCCCAATTTTTTTGAAAACCTAAGCGAAGCTAGGCAGTATGCCTAGTATATATATATATATATATATATATATATATATATATATATATATATATATATATATATATATATATATATATATATATATATATATATATATATTAATATATACGGGAGATAGTGCGCATTGTTACTAATTCGAAAAGAATCCAGATTAGGCTATTTAACTAGGGACAACAACCCATCTAGAATAGAAATCACCCAAATCAAACTTGAGAGGAGTTCTAATGCGATATGTTTACAAACTCTGGTTTCGTTCGCTAGTTCCTGCGACACATTGGATGCTAAATTGTATCGGTAATGTCCTGTCCCCTACGTCCATCAGCTGTGGAGAGAGAGGGGCAGCATCTGGCTCTTCTCCAGTTAACCATCACGCAAGCCTATACATGACACTATTCTATAAAAACAATACGTTTTCTTCTACAGCTGTATCGGGTGAGTACTGCACCTACCATCGCACCTTCGGCACAATCACCTATGAGTACTGCAACTGGGGCTGTTGTTATTCAATCATCTACCCATGCTGTGACACACCTTAGTAAGTTGTTTTGTTGGTTGTTTGTTTTGTGTCATCATTAAAAGGTTAGTCATATGCAGCGACGGAGCTACAATACCGCCAGACCCTGCGTTGCGGGGGAGGCCCAAGCCGTCTAGGGCAGGGGTCGGCAACCTTTTGAGACGGAAAAGCCAAAAGATGCAATTTACAAAATTTACCAGTTTTTAAAGAGCCACTAACATTTTTTTTTAATATTTAGGATTATATATATATATATATATATATATATATATATATATATATATATATATATATATATATATATATATATATATATATATATATATATATGACTTACTTGACTTGACTTAGTCCTCTTTGCTCCTTATGGAACATAGGGCCTCCCCCATTTCCTTCCATTTCTTCCGATCCCCGGCTATTAATTTTGTCATCTCCCAAGACATCCCTGTTGGCTTCAGTTCTCCAAGAGGACTCCGCCTCCAGGTCTATCTTGGGCGCCCTCTTTTCCGCTTTCCCTGGGGGTTCCACTCAAGCGCTTGGCGTGTAACATTTGGGTGAGCCTTTCACAGTGTGTGACCCACCCAGCGCCACTTCCTCCTTCTTATTTGCACACCCATAGGCTCCTGCCTAGCTTTCCTCCATAGTTCTATGTTCGGCACTTTGTCCTGCCATCTCAGTTTCAATATCTGTCTTAGGCATCTATTCATGAAGGTCTGTATCTTTGCTGTGCTTGCTTTGGAGACTCTCCATGTCTCTGCTCCATACAGCAGAACTGCCTTGACATTAGAGTTAAATATCCTAATTTTTATGGTAATGGAAATGGCCGAACTTTTCCATATGGGTCGCAGAACTGTGAAAGCGCAGCGGGCTCTATTAACTCTAGCACGTATGTCCTCCTCTGTGCCTCCCGTTTAAATAAATAGCTTTAAATATGAAATAATATTTATTTATATTTTTTAAAAATACACATGTTTCGCACAAAACATATTATAGTATTTTAGCTAGCTGTGCTAGAATAATAAAATTAGTAATCATAAAATATAACTATAATCTTTGAATATTTACATTAGTTACATCAATGGGAGCATTGACCTTGCATGCCGTTTGAAAGTTTGTTTCAAGTTTAAATCTGGCTCATAACTTCTTGTTTTAGGAGCTTTCAAGCACGCCTCTAGATTTTTAGTAGTCAGTTGGCTTCTTACTTAACTTTTTATTATATTCATGTAAGAGAACTCTTGCTACCACGAATATGTTAACCTAAAGATCGTCAGCACTCCAGATGTCAACTTCTCCACGTTACTGTACCATCCTGCAAATCTATCGATATTTCTTTTATAGCTGTCCAGTTGTGCAGCGTAACGCGCATGTTTTAATGGACCTTCAACTATTTTTACTTGCTCTTGAGTTCTGTGAATTTTCCGCTCCACAAATGAGTCGTTTTCAAATCCAGCAATTGCATTTGAAGCGAACCAGCATCAATTCCAAATAGCTCAAAGTTAATCTCATTTGTTTTTGTGTTGAGAGACTATACTATGAACGTCAGAGTACTTGCATTTGTTTTGAATTGCTCAAATCTCTCAGTGAATCCATCTTTCGTTTTGTTTGTTGTAATGCTGAAGCAATTCATGCTAATAGTTGCATTGGTTTCTATATATTTTTTTTTTTCAGATTTTTCGAAATCAAGTAATTTACAGCTCTTCGTGTCTTCAACAAAAAAAACAGTATTTTTTTTTTAAACATACACTTCTCAAGCAAGGCATAGGCGGAGTTTTCCTTTCCTTGCAGTTTTACATTTAGCTCGGTTATTTTCTTTGTGATATCCACCATGAAGTTGAATGTTTCAATTCGGATGAACAGTTTAATAGGAAGTACATTGAAAATAGGGAGTACCTAAATATTCTAATAGAATAACGAGTGTTTTATGTTTATGTTTATGATTATATAATTCATTACCGAGTGTTGCAGAACAATATGTGTATGAGTTTTGTAAAATGAAATAAAATAATTATTAATATTTGTGCATGGAGCCGAAGAGCCGTATCTTGACATCAAAAGAGCCGCATGCGGCTCGCGAGCCGCAGGTTGCCGACCACTGGTCTAGGGGTCCAAATTCTACTTACTTTTTTTTATTTAATTTTTGTAGTTTGTTTTTTTTTGTTTAAGTTATTCGTATGAACAACTTTTATGAAGAAAAAAATGTATGAAAAAATAAACTAGGTTTCCTCACCGTTCCGTTATTTTAAATTTATGATTGTTGTGACGCTACAGTTAGGGTTTAGAGGTAAGATTCTCACATTGTTTCCCTCAGCTATGCCGACGTGCCCTTTGTAGCCGGCATGGCGTTGACTTCCGTAGGTCTATTGCTGGGGATAGCCGGAGCATGCGTCAGGAGACTGAGACGCGTCAGGAGACTGAGACATGTCCAGACGACAGTTCAGAACACGGCATCTGGCAACCAGCAAGTCTTCTCAAGTAAGTTGAGTGCCAGAACAGTCCCCCAGCAGGGCCCCAACTATCCCAACAATCCCCCAGCAGCGCCCCTCAACCCTCCTTTAGCGCCCTTACAGTCCCCCTGCGCGCCCCAACGGTACACCAAATGTCCCCCAACTTCGCCCTAACTGTTCGACCAACAGCACCCCAGCACTGCTACAACAGCGTCCAAATAGACCCAAATCAGCATTAAAAATTGCTCCCAAACAGCGCCCCAATAGTCCAAGTGATATTTGAATGAATAAAACTAGCCTATCTCTAGAATTTTCACCAAGCAATGTAGCTCTGCATCTAAGCGCTCCAAAACGTGTGTTAATACTGTATGGTGTAGCACCCAACTTATCCTGCTTGTGCCGCTAATATGAAAATATAGATGTTAAATATTCCAAATTTAAGTTTTTAAAAAGTTTGTAATATTTATTTGAATTGCAACAACCTTGCTTGTATGAATTCAATACTTGTATGAACCTTTAATTATGAAACTGTAATTAACATTGAAACTAAATCATCTAAACTTCAATTAGAACGGAAATAAGACACAATTAATCCTGACTAACACATTGACTGCATATTTTTAACGAAATTCCTTTTTTAAGTCTCAGTTTTTATTTTATCACGCAATCCAGCCTGTTTATTTTTATGCATTGATACTAAAAAGCATTTGCATGTAGAACTTCTACGATAACAAATTGTTTTAAAGACTAGATCAAGAATTAAAGAAACCAGATAATTTTTTTCGAAATGTTGTTGAAATACAAAAAATATATTTAACTTTTCAGTCTTGGCAGCGCAGGAAAATTCAGGTGTTGCTAACACAGACTACGTGAACACATCCGCTGTCAACACAGGCTACGGGAACACATCCGCTGTCAACACAGGCTACATGGGCCCACCCGCCTACAACACAAACTACTCTACTGCTTTCTCCAACAGTGGCTACACCCACACAGCTTCCGCCACAACATAAGAGCCTACACGCTCATTTCAAGACAACATATAAGAATGTACACAATCGTGTAAATACAACGTTTACCGGTGTAATTGTTTTAAATACTAAAGAACAAAACGAATACAATAAAATATCACAAAAATGTGACAAAACAATGTTTACATTAAATGCTCCGTAATTTTGTTTTATTTTTTATACAAGCTTTTATTTAACTCACTTCCTCTGTCTGTCTGTCTATCTGTCTAGATCGAAACGCCGGAGCGAAAATTCTGACACTTCTACTTGACCGATACGGTTCACACTTGGCACGTGGGTCAAGACATGAAGACAATGCAATCTGAAATTAAATTTGACTTAATTGGATGCCTAATTAGTTTTTTATGAATTAATTAAAATTTTGACCGAATTTGTAGGCATTTCTATCGAACCTCACCACACGCGTCATCACGTTCAATAGCGCGTCATCACGTTTCAATCTGCGCGCAATGGTTTTTAGCCATGAAACTATTGAAACTCTAGCGTAAATAAAAACATGTAAAGTACTAAAAAAAATCATAAAAAACGTTTTAATAACAAGCTTTTATGAACTAATGCACTAAAAAGTAGAAAATAAATTATAGACTACTATTTAAATAACTAGAAAGAAAAGCGTGGGTCACTTTAATAGCTATTGGATACCTTTACTAATGTTAAGGAAGAGACCCACGCTTTTCTTTCTAGTTTTTTAAATATTAGTCTATAATTTATTTTCTATTTTTTAGTGCATTAGTACATAAAAGCTTTTTATTAAAACGTTTTTTATGATTTTTTTTTATTGAATTTTTTAATTTATTTTTTTTTTTTGTATTTTGTATTTATTTATTTTTTTCGTTTTTTTTTTTTTTAATTTAAATATTTTTTTGAGTAAGTAAATGTTACCACAGTATGCCAACTTCCATATTTTTTTCGGCGTTTGCCTCTATGATTTTTAAACAAATCAGAACATATAACTTTATATTTATTCTTTTATTTGGTGATATACCAAACATTCCCATATAACATCTGTATTATCTAGTAAACTGTAGAGGTAAGTAAGCAACTTGATAAGCGTCCATGTTTTTACTGAATTCACCAAGTAAGTGTTATTTTAAAAAAATATAACGTGGGGTGAGGAGGTGTTTACAAAATTACCTTTTTTTTATTCTCCGCACTGGGATTTAACTCGTTAACAAATAACTCAAATAAAGTCGTCAAGGTCAGTTTCAACTGGGGCACTATTTATTTGGGCAACCCTGATTTCATCTTCAACCTCGTAGGATGGGGGTGGTCCTTAATTTCGTGACGGTGTGTGATGAGGGGGAGGGGAGTTTCAGATGGTGCGACGTCACACTTTTGCATTATAAAAAGCAATGTTATTTTGCGTTTTAGAAAACTGTTTTAATAAATTGTAATAGGAAATTATTAAAATACTCTATTTTGACAGAGTTCAGACAAGATTTAGGAAAAATATCGATGTTCAAAAAAAAAACTCAACTGCAATGTTGAGGGGGGGGGGGTTGTAGGCTGAGGTGTGACATCATTTCAGAGGGGGTCTGACTTTTTGTAACGACGTGGGACGGAGGGGAGGGGGGAGGTAAAAATCGTCCAAAAAAGCGTGACGTCATCAACATAGTTGTGGTATAACTGTTAAAACCCTGTGTGCCCTCATATCACTTACATGGATCAACAAATTAAACGTCTAGATTTTTTATTACAATGAAGCTTTTTTATAGGATTTGGTAGTGTAAAAAAATAGCTTCTTTTTTTTTTACAGTAAATGTGAACTTTGTTTACTTGTATCAGTTAACTTGTTTTACTGCTACATTGAAATTAGATAATTTTTGTCTGTTATTGTGAAAGTGAACTATTTTTGTGCTATTGTTAAGGTGAACTGTTTTTGTCTACTATTAGAAAAGTGAACTATTTTTTTTCTGCAATTGTAAAATTGAACTGTTTTGTCTGCTGTTTACCAAGCGAACTGACCATCCCTTCACCACTGACTGACCATCCCTTCACCACTGACTGACCATCCCTTCACCACTGACCATCCCTTCACCACTGACCATCCCTTCACTGACCATCCCTTCACTGACCATCCCTTCACCACTGACTGACCATCCCTTCACCACTGACCATCCCTTCACTGACCATCCCTTCACCTGCTAGTGATACATGTGGTGATGTTGTGTACCCTGTCGGTTTTTGTTACTCACGCATGCACGTGCGTGTCAAGCTTAGATGGGGGATGTAAAGGGTCGCGGCTAAATTTCAAGACATTTCAATCAACAAACTTTTGCAGGGACGAAACCAACTTGCGCAGAGACGTTGGCGTTTGGTAGTTTGATGTCGTTTTGGTTTTTTATTGCAAAAGATGTCAATCTATGTACAAATCTATTTTAAATCTAATTTGAAATATTTGAATCTATATTTAGAATAGATTTTAATTTTAAAAAATTCAATTGATTTGTAAACATTCTGAAGAACTACTAAAAGACAAGAAAATTTAAGAGAAATGTGCAGGGACTGTTTGTAATATACGTCCATTTCTAATTATGATTGTTATGATATCTGTATTATTCATGGCATCGCTGTTTTCTATTGGTTACCGCCATCATCGCCTCTATTGAAGTAGTTGGGGACTACACACACATATCGCTGGGCATTACGATGTTAACGTACTATTCTATCCAAAATAATGTTAACATAATACTACACACATTATTTGTTGGCCGTTGTTAACTTAAAAAGTACACATATTCTACACAACATAATGTTAACATAAACACTACACACATATTGTCGGCCCTTATGCTGTTAACTTGAAAATTACGCATATGCTACTCAACATAATGTTAACATACACACTACACACATATTGCTGACCCTTAAAAAGTGCACATATTCTACCCAACATAATGTTAACATACACACTACACACATATTGCTGGCCTTTAAAAAGTGCACACATTCTACCCAACATAATTTTTAACACAGAAAATATACAAAACATTATGACACATATATACATTGAGTATACACATTTCATTCAACCCCATATATATGTCGGTCTACATTGTTGATATACACATCACAAAGTTGATGTACCTCATACATACATACGACGGGTCGAATATTATTTTTACTCACAACTCAAACAAAAAACTATCAGATCCTAACATAAAACCGACTAAGTTGTATGAAATATTTAACATATAGTACCCTGTGCCCAATACATATTGTATGTCTGATGTTGTATGTCATATATTTATCTTTTCACGTCAGTGCCCCCTACGTCACAAGGATCGTGTCATGTTTCATGTTATCAAGTGTAAATTGCGTCATATATTGTCTCATGTTTATCATTTTATAAAATGTAAATTGCGTCATATATTGTCTCATGTGTATCATGTTATAAGGTGTAAATTGTCTCATATGGTCTCATATGTATCATGTTATCAAGTGTAAACTGCCTCATAATATTGTCTTATATGTATCATGTTATAAAGTTTAAATTGTCTCATATTTTCTCATGTGTATCATGTTATCAGTGTAAATTGCCTCATATACTGTTTCATGAGTATCATTTTATAATGTGTAAACTGCCTCATAATATTGTCTCATATGTATCATATTATAAAGTGTAAATTGCCTCATAATATTGTCTCATATGTATCATGTTATAAAGTGTAAATTGCCTCATAATATTGTCTCATATGTATCATGTTATAAAGTGTAAATTGCCTCATAATATTGTCTCATATGTATCATGTTATAAAGTGTAAATTGCCTCATAATATTGTCTCATATGTATCATGTTATCAAGTGTAAATTGCCTCATATATTGTCTCATGTTTATCATTTTATAAAATGTAAATTGCCTCATATACTGTTTCATGAGTATCATTTTATAATGTGTAAAGTGCCTCATAATATTGTCTCATGTGTATCATGTTATAAAGTGTAAATTGCCTCATATTGTCTCTATGTATCATGTTATGAAGTGTAAATTGCCTCATATATTGTCTCATGTTTATCATTTTATAAAATGTAAATTACGTCAGATATTGTCTCATGTGTATCATGTTATAAGGTGTAAATTGTCTTATAATATTGTCTCATGCGTACCACGTTATCAAGTGTAAACTGCCTCATATATTGTCACCTTGACATCGCTTAATAAAGTGTCAACTGTGCCATATATTGTCTTATATCATGTCTATCATGTTATACAGTGTCAATACAAATCAAATAAACTATAATTTGTCAGCAACATCGGGGTGTTTTTTTTATTCTCTTTATTTCTGAATGCATTAAAAAAGTGATCCTAAACACATTCATCAACTTTTGCTCTGTTCAACGATGATTTTAACACTTTAAAATATAATCAAATTGCACTGACACCCCTATGGTTTAAACTTATACCTTCATACTTTACACTAAAATATAATCAAATGATTTATCATGCCACTATCTTTGGTTTGACTTAGAGTCATTATCCTTCTAGACTTATTTTAACCCCCCCCCCCCCCCCCACACACACACACACACACTCCCCCTCCCAGAGTTTCTTCCAGGCATCTCTTCGGGGGGGCTCCGCCCCCCCGAAAAATTTTTACCGCCCCCCCCCCCCGAACGAAATAAAATTTATATAATTTATATAGAAAATATATACTTTTAACAGTGTCCGCCCCCCCGAAGAAAGTTTACCGCCCCCCCCCGAAAATTTCAAGTGCCCCCCCGGAGCAAAAAGTCTGGAAGAAACACTACCCCTCCCCCTCCTCGTTACAACAGGTCGAATCTTCTCCCTCTGTGGTGTGACGTCTTTAAACTATAAACAAAGGACAGCCCACGCATAACGTTTGGGTCCAAGTTCGAATCTCAAGTCAATGATCACAAGATCACAAGATCTTCGTAGATTGTAAATTAAAATTGACCTAGTTTCTGTCTAATGATAAAAAATACACAACAAGAATTACGTCCCTTAGATGGTGATAAATTTTGCAGAAACAAGACAGGACTCTATCAAACAAGTAGTGTATGTTTTTTTTGTAGTTTCAGTTTAGGACAGAATGAAACCTTTAATTTTGATTGGTCTGTTTCTGTTTCAGTATGTGTGTAAGTTTTAATCTTTCTATTATCATTGTTTTTGAGAAT